AAAATTTCTCTCTAGATAAGATTTAATTATGCACATCTCCCAGTAATAATCCACCGGTATTTCATGTGACATAACACAAGGATATTACATATTATAAGCACAATAATTTCCAAAACATAAGACAGTCATAATGGGAAAAACCATTGTTTAACTTTTAATCTCTACTTAGGATAAGTGTCATAATGGTAGCAAACTAAAAGCAGTAATAGTATTTTTGCTGCTTTTATTTTAAAGGATCTGCATGGACTCAATTATGCTAGCCTAACAATTTTCTCGGTAGACCAATTTCCAAAACAGCAGAAAAAGTTTGTCTTAGAAATGCTGATGAAGCAACTTTAGCTTACCATCAAAAACATAATGGAAAAATCAATTGTAATTACTTGTGAGGTGTGTAATTTTGCAAACGCTAATAAGTCAATCAGCAAAATGAAAAAATGGTCCCCTCCACTGCTGTTTATGCCATCACTCTATAGCTCTCTCTCAAGCTGCTGTTTGTAGCTGCCCCTCTGCTCTTCTGTCACACTTGCCACTTGCATTCAGCAGCACAAAGGAAGGGACAAGGAGCTTTGAGATCTGTTTGCAGGCTGAACAGGCAGGAGCTGGACTCCTGGCAAGTCGGGGCGCTGCTTCCCTCCTTCCTGTGCTGATTACACGGCCGCTCTGTGATGGTGGCTGGGACAGGGCTGCATTGTGGGTGGCAGGAGTTTCACAGCAGTCACGGCTCTCTCTGGCCTTTGGTTCATGAGCACAGTCTGCTAAGCCTCCAGGAAAAGTCACAGGCTTTTAGGTCAGGAGTCTCCCAGCTGCCAAAACCTATTGGCTTAGAGAATGGGGTTGAGGAGCGGAGTTGCCAGTGATACAAATGACCCTCTTTGTCAGAGAGATTACAGTGCCACAGAGCACATTTTCAGACCAGCTCTTCCCAGCACAGTGAGGCTAGACTTAGACTAATCCCTTCAGTGTGTGCTGCTTGAGCCTTCTCTTTCTTTCTTCACTACATCTGAGAAAAACTAGAGGCGGTCAGTGAGATTTCAGTATTCTTAAAGACCAGTCGAAGACTTGAAGTTGCTTTCCAGGTTTGGCAAGCATTTGGCTTTTATTATTTATTTTTTTTAATATAAAAAAATGCATTCAGCTTTTCTGACTGACCATGTGTCCCTTGCAGGTTGCTGAGCGGCTGATGACAATCGCCTATGAAAGTGGCGTTAATCTCTTTGATACTGCTGAGGTCTATGCTGCTGGAAAGTAAGTCAGTACCTCTTTGTGTCCCTCAGGTGGCATCTGTGGAACCAAGGGAGTGTGCCCAGGCCATTTCTGAGGTGTTGGTGAGAAAGGTCTGCCCTCCCCCACTGCTCTGCTCCCTCCCTCTACCACCATCATTAGAATTGGGGACAGTGACCACCTCTGTCCCCCTCTGCCCAACCAAACCTTCCTGCTTCTGGTCCCTGTATAAAGAATGGACTGGAGAGAGGTAGGGCCAGGAAGCCATTACCATGGTCTGCATGACGGCAAAGGCGGCCGTGGAGATGGATAAATAGCAGTTGACTACATGAGCGGATTCCGAGATGATTGTTCAAAAGCTAGTTTCATTATTTCAGAGCCATATTTCATAGTTCCTCAGCTTTCCTGTGGAACTGGGACATCTCCCTGCAGGGAAGCAT